GTGTGTGTGTGTGTGTGTGTGTGTGTGTGTGTGTGTGTGTGTGTGTGAGAGAGAGAGTGCGTGTGATTGCTTCAAATCATTGATTTCTACTACGCTTGGGTTAGAAAACAGAACCTTAAACAGAGATACAAACACGTTGTTATTTGTACAGAAAAGTTTTTATATGCATCGTTGTGTCTGACAATTATAAACCCGACATGGACAATCAATTGGCATTAGTAAGAGAAGCATTAGATCCTACAGGATTCTCTTTAAGAGCAGTAACGAGCATCTATATGTCACTTTTATTTGGATACCAAGCGACTTTCCATGAAGGTTCGAATTTAATCACATTTCATCTACATTTTGAGACTTCAAAGAGGGTGAAATTTGAATGGGCGGAGCCCCTGAACAGATTGAACAGAAATTGTTTCAGGATAGGATTCACTGAAGGAACTTAGAGGTGCTTCAGCAGCATTATTTCATGACGTGCTAAGGCCTCGGATTACAACTTTGGCAAGGTTGGCCAAACATAGTCCTCCTAATTGCAATCAACATTCGAGGTATTGTAAGATGATAGTCCACCCAGACTCATTTGTAAACGTCCACAATGCCTTTGCAAGAACTTGGAATTATTCAAATCAATAGCAGTTTCAGAGATGCTGATAAGCAGGCTATGCTTTTAAGAAGATGTAGAGAGTAAGGTGCTGGGAAAATATTTGTAAAATTCTTTTTAACGTGAAACGAATACCTGCATATACTTAACATAAAAGGACAAAGACTTTGTTAAATCTCAATTTCTTTGGAATGCAATTTTAAATCAAAATGAGTGCACACTATTTTAACAACAATATTTATCTCCTTAGAATATCCTAGGCCTTTTAAGAATATTTAATCTCAAGTCTTAATTGCTCTAAACATCTTGAAGATATAGAGACAACAAGGTGCAGAGCTGGATGAACACAGCAGGCCAAGCAGTATCATAGGAGCAGAAAGGCTGACGTTTCGGGCCTAGACCCTTCATCTTGAAGATATATATTCCTTACTGCACCCCCATCAGCTTAAATTTGCCAATTACTCAAGTGGCATAGTCAAGGATATTGTCGTTGCTTAAACAAGAGCATAATAACATAAAAATTACAATACGAATGTACAAAATTCACACAGGAGCAGGCCACTTGGTATCTCGAAGCTGCAAGGCCACTCAGGCACTCCACGTTCCTGCCTAATGTATAATCTTTGGCAATGTATAATCTTTGTTTATCAAGAACCTGTTCATCTTTTTTTTGAAAACAATGTTCATGTTTTCCCTTCCATTGAAGAAGAGATTTCCAATGATTCCAGACACTTTATGAGAAAAAAAAACTTCCCACGTCTGTTTTAAATGGGCGACCCCTTAAATAGTGATCCTAGTTCTAGATTCCCCAGCATGTAGAAGCATCTATTCCGTGTCTACCCCGTCAAGACTTCTCAGTACCTTATATATTTGAATCAAGCCGGCTCTTACTCAACAATTGATGCAAGCCTATAGACTTCTGAACTTATTCTCATAAGAAGAGGAATCCATTTCAGGAGTAGAACTAAGTCATGCGAAACCTTAAGCTGTTCTACAATTCAATACCATTATGAATTATCTGCTATATTAACCACATTTTACCCTTTAGTAGCCTCAGAATGTTCAGAATGTGCTGAATTATTCAGAAATTTGGTCAGTTAATTTTAGTTTCAAAAACAAAGGCAGAAGAACTCAGTAAACAGTTAACTAATTTTTGTGTAGCAAAAGCCTACAATTACAATAGAGAGAATATACTCATCAAAAAAAAAATCGATCAAAGGTCTTGGATTGCTTCTAATCGGCATAAGGAGGCTCTAAAAGTTTAAATGCTATGCATTATGTTAAATAGTTCTGAATACAATGACAGTGTGGAGATATACATTGTCACAAAAAAAATCAATTCATTTATTATTTTATTCTATTTCCTTGGAATAAGTTCAATCTCCAATATAGGCTGTGATCTTGTACTTTATTGAGCTTCCTAAATCTATTCTTTTTTTCATAGCTAGTAAAGGAATTCCCACAGAATCCCTTTTCAGCCGTTTTCTGGAAAATGGTTAAACGTGAGTCAAGCTGGGGCATGCTCACTTTCCACAGAGATATTAAATGGTCTTGATTAAGCTAACGGTATTTGTTCTTTAACAATCTTCCTTTCAGTCTCTAATATATGTTGTCTCTGCCTCTATACCTAACCGTTTCTGCTAATTATCATTTTCAAAAATAAATCTAGCATTTAGCATCAGCTGATGACTGCATGTGATGCATTTTATTTCAATGAGATTTTACCCTGCTGAGGCTATATATTTTCCCAGTGAGTTTTGTTCCCTGACGTAAACAGGTCACATCATTTCTGCTTCTCTACATAGATCGTAGAAGCATTGCTAAAATTTCTGACGACCAATGGTAATTGTCTATCCATAAATGCCCAGAGGGCAGTTAGCAGTCAACTATGTTGCTCTAGTTCTAGATCATGTGCAGGCTAGACCATGGTGAAGATGGCATTTTCCTTTCCTGATGGACATTAACGAACAAAAGTTTTTTTTTAAAAAATGATTATGCTTAAATTAGACTAACTTCTTATTCCAGGCTTTTGTTTTTAACTGATCACGTAATTTCCACTTCTCTACATAGGCATCATTGCAAACTTTTCTCTAAAAGGAACTCCGCTTTCTCCAACAGAATATCCCAAATCATTGCTGTCCGTTTGTCAGTACACAATTTCACTGACGTTCATCATTTTAATCAACACCATGTGTGATGCGTGAATTTATTAGCTGAGCAATAAGCTCGCTTTATGAGACTCCAGCATTTTCTTTATTCTAGATGCATTTGTTAAAAAACCTTGTTCCTAACCTAGCTGCTCTCTCGCGAACTTTGAAGGTGTACATTTGTCGGTTCAGTTAACTGGACTTGTATGACTGGAGCAATATGACTGGATGGAAGTTATGAGATCTGGCCTGGTGTAGTTTCGGGGTGGTGGCATGTTAAATAGAGCAGATGTCTAGACCAGCATCTTTCCAACAATCAACGAGAAAACCCTCATAACCTGGAAAGTACCAGGTGCCAAAATGGACACCCCGCACACTATATGCAAATAAGAGTGAACTGAGTTTGTTAAAAGTTCAGTTGATCACATTCCTACTTAGTCAACGCCATGATGCAGTTGGCGTGCTCTCATGGGCGTGCTTCAACAGCAAAATATTTTTCAAGGCTTTTAAAATGATGAGAAGGAAAGAGAAGGGTGTTAGCTTTGGAGCGTGCGTTTGCTCATCGGGAGTGCCTCAGTACCTACATCCACACTCACAACATGAAAGCACCCCCTTCGTTCCTAACTGCTTTAAAATACCCAGTTCCCACTTTCGAAAGAGGGCAAGCCTTCATGATCAATCCCCCAAAAGTGCATCACTCCAGAATCCACGGCTGCCTTCCTCGTGAACCTACCTATAGTACTGGGAGCGCCCATTACCTAGCTCTGGCGTTACAAAAAAGCTGTTGGAGCTGGACGTTTACTTGAATGGTGGGTCTCTGCGATGCATTTTTACTGGGGGAGGTTCGTGTGGGAGTTGATGAACTGGGTTCCATAATTTTCTGGCAATTATTTTTACATTGTTTGTTCATCCTATTCTGTGTCATTTAAACATCATTAGCCTACACACAGCAGTGAGCCACAAATTATAATAGATATCTGTTTCATTAACGCACTTTCAAACGATCATCCGTCATTCCCCCCTATAATCACTCTGGCAGTGAACAGTTAACTAACTGCTTTATCATTAATCATCTTTCTGACAATGTTCTCTGATTGCAATCGTGGTGACTTGATCTACTAAGTATCTCTTCTGTCCACCAGTACAGTTTTTTTTTGTTAAATGAAATTGGATTTTCTAAATGTATAGGTTGTTCTTGGCACTTGATGGCGCAGAATTTTCTGCTATTCCAGTAAAATCCTGCATTGTTCGTCAATCCAAGACAATGTATATATAACTATGAACTAAAATAGTAGCATAATGTGGCAAGTGGAATGTGGCATGCATGGATATACATTCGGACTAGGAAAATCTAATGAACACCAAAGTTGTGGTGCAAGAATTTTCCTTAAAATATTTAAGCGTGAATATAGAACTGAACTGAAATCTATTAGTATGAGTGGGAAAAAAGAGTAGTGTTGAAGAAATAATTGTGAATAAAATGTGACAAATATCCGGGACCAATCAATTTGACCTAGCGTGTTCTAAGAGATAGTTATAGTACTAACAGATGCAATAGTGGTTATCTTTCAAAATTAGATCAATTCTGCAGTGTTGGTGTAGTTTGGAAACTTTCAATTGTAATCCCACTGTTTAAGAAAGAGGGAGGGAGAAAGTCAGGGACTACAGATCTGCAAGCATGACGTCAGTTGGAGTAAACAAATTAAAATCGATTGTTAATGATGTAACTGGTGGATATTTCGGAAATAATTGTGAGATTGAACAGAATCAACGAGGATTTATAAAGGGGGGCTCACGTTTGACAAAGCACAACCTTTTCACTTGTTTGGAAGTTTCTCGCGAAATTCATAATGGGACCTAGGGAATGTAGCGTGTTTGAACTTTCCAAACCTTCAATAAGGTCCTAGAATTAGATTAGAAAACAAATTTAAAGTGCATGGGATGAGACAATATACGAAAATATATTCAGGATTAACAAACATAAATTAAAGAGTAACAGTAAACGGTACATTTTTAGGCTAAGATAACAA